CTTATGCACTGTCCAGCCTTCAGATGCATAGGAAGCCATCAAAAAGGCAATGGCTGGGATCAAGTTCACCTTGACTTAGGAACCCTATAGGACAGAGTTTAAAAAGGAGCTCCTGGGGCACACAAGAGCTGTGATCTTTTCCTCAAAGACGGTTATGCTGCTAAGCCAAGGCTGTGTCCCTCTGCAGGTTGAATCCACCAGAGTTTCTGTGGGAGAAGGATGGGCACTGTCCTCCCCTGCAGATTATAACCTTGAAAATCCACTAGAGAGCTCTGAGTGGAGTCTGACTCCAAAGCAGTGCATAAATGGCAGTGAGTTTAAAATTTTTACTCTTTAGGGGTAGAGAGTCTTTGAAAAAAAGAGGAAGAATACCAAATGACAGACTGGCAAAATATATGAAACAATGGTTAACAGCACGGAAGAAAGACCTAGACAACAGCACAATAGTGGTAGGAGACTTCAACACACCACTATCATCAAAAGATGCAGAAGATCTAAACTATACAATCAGCCAACTCGACCTTGTGGATGTATTCAGGGGACTGCACCCAATTAAAACACAATTCATTTTCTGGAGAATGGCACATTCTCCAGAATCCATCCTGGATGGATTCAAAGCAAGCCTCAGCAAATAAAAAAAATAAATAAATAAAATAAAAATTGAAGTAATGCAATGTATCTTCTCAGACCATAATGCCATTAAACTAGAAATTAACCAGAGGAGGGTGAAGCTTACAAAACTATCCATGTGGAAACTAAGTAACTCTCTGCTAGAACAGAGTTGGGTTGTAAAAGAAAGAAAAGAATGAAGTTAAAAAGTTACCAAAAAAAGAGGAAGACCCCCCAATGAGATGAACTGACATAATGGCCACAGTAATAGAATGGTTGTGAGGATGGCACCAGGACCAAGCAGTGTTTAGTTCTTTTTTTTAACACAGGTTCACCTTCAGTGGTCATTTTGCTCAACAGCACATGACAATAGTTACAATCTTTATGGAGGAAGATCTTTAGCAGAGTGTTGGGTTTGAACCACCAACCTTTGGGTTATCAGCTAAGTGATTTATCCACTGTACCCCCAGCATGCCTTTATTGTGTGTGAATAGTTAACAGCTGGCCTCCCACAGCACCCGTGATGTGACAGGGACAGCTCCAAGCGCCTTCAGGCATACTCTTAGCCATTTTCTGAGCCATGTCTAAGCACTTTTATATTGAATGGTGTTTGATCCCCTGCCCTATGAAATCTGTACCTTATTGTGGCTCATTCGCTGTGTCCTATGTTCTCTCTCCTCTTGAGTCCCTTGGTTTGGTCCATCCATGAGATGACTTCTGCAACATCTAAGAGGCTTCTCATTTGAGCCCCAGCCATTCTACTGACCATCCTGTTATCTCAAGGTCGTGTTCCTGCCCTGTGGCCTAGAGACTCTGTCACAGAGACTTCAGAGTCTTTTAAGACCCTTTATTGTTGGGGTTTCCCCCCCCCTCCTTCTTGGCCCTTCATTTTGAACCTTTTATTAATTTCAGTGCCCCCTTTCTTCAGCTTATATGATCATGACTTCAGCCACTCTCTTGCCAGTATCCTCAAATCCCTTGCTTTTTATATCCTTTAAGCCCTGGTTGTTTAAGTATTGAGTTGCTAACTGACTAACCAGTAGTTCAAATCCAGCCCAGCTGTTCTGAGAGATATAAGGGGGGAGTCTTCCATAAAGTTGTATAGTCTTGGACACCCTTAGGGATCATTCTCCTGTAGAATTCCTGAGAGTCAGAATTTCTTGGACAGCAGTAAATTAAGTCACAGAAGAAGCCCCTCGGCCCTGATGAGAAGCACGTCTTAAGGTAGACATTCAGGGTCGGTGTGACAGCTCCATTTTATTAGAGACCCAAGAACTTTCCAGTTCTGCTTGACTAGGTGTGATCTCTGTCCTCATCATCATAGATGGCTGCTAGAGCTCCGGCCATCACAACCAAGGGTTGGGCAGCAGGACAGAGGATGGGAATAAGATGGGAAAGGAAAAAAAACAAAACAAAACTGGATGGGCCAAACCAACTCATCGGATACACTATGAGTTGGTTCTGACTCAACAGTAATGAGAGTAGGACTTTGTGATGAACATCAAAACATTACCACTAAGGGATAGCTAAACAGAATTAATTCATTAATGGTAAATAATGCTATAAAACAATGTTTTTATTTTGATGACTAAACGGTAAGTAAGTGTTCACTCAAAAAAGCTCAAATAAATAATAAAAATACAAGTACTGTGTTATGTTAGTGATGTTTTATACTAAATGTCTCTTCAATTTTTTTTTCATTTATAAAAAGGTACACTACACAGGCATACCTCTGAGAGAGAGGTTGCAGGTTCTTTCCCAGACCACTGCAATGAAGTGAAAGTAGCAGCAAATCCAGCCACATCCGTGTGTGTGTGTGTGTCCTAATGTAAATCGTGGCCTAGTGGTAGGGATTTGTGCTGCCAACCCAAAGGCACATGGTTCAAATCCACCAGCTGCTCTCCAGGAGAAAGCAAGGCAGCCTCCCATGCAATTTACCACCTCTGAAATCCCACATGATTCACTGCCTCTGAAAGCCCACTTGCGGGAGGGGGGGGAGGGGGGAGACGGTCAACTCTGACTGTGTTCTGACTTGACAGTACATAACAATAGTACAAATGAAGGTTTTGTTTATGCCAGACTGTAGCCAGTTAAGTGTGTGATGACCAATTGGAAAGGCATGAAAGCAGCAAGGAGTTCCAGTGTGTGACCCAGGCATGAAGTGGGCATGGGTGGTTGGAAAGATGGTGCTAGCAGATGTGCTCCTTGCAAGGTAACCACAGATCTTCAACTGGTAAAATTAAAAAGCAATGGGGGAAAGAAAGAGCCCAACTTGATGTGTGTGAGGCACAAGAAAATGAAATACGCATGTGTATTTGTAAAGTGAGGGTAGGCAGCATGGGGATGGCGCTAGCTGACCTCTCCTAAAGCCACACAGGGAATCTTTCCCCACCAATAACACGCACCAGACAAAATCAATTCCTATAAGGTCACATGTGTTCTTTCATGCTCTGGCCCCTACTTCTACTAATTCCAACACCAAGCTTACTGCCCTCCTGGGTCTGAAATCTGTTGAAATGACTACACAGCTCTCACAGAGCCATGTTCACAGTTATGGAGTTTATTAGGGAAGTTAACAGGTTACAATTCATGCTGGTGGCAGGATACGATCCCTCAATGCAGACAGCTGCTCAGGTGTGCCCACAGGCCCTCTGACCTTCAATCTCAAGGCTCAGGTCAATATTATAAATTTCCCTTAGCCCTGTCAATGATGGTGTCTTCCCTCAGTCCTCCAGCAACCCTGGCCACAGGCCCCTGGCTCTGGCTCTGCTCCGTGGGACAACAGTTCCAAGTCAGCTCGGTCTCACATTGGCCTCCAGCTCTCTGCCGAGGCGGCCACTGCTTTCCTGCAGCTCCCAGTCTGACCGGTGCAGGAATCTCTGACACCAAGACACATGCTGTACTCCCTGCCTCTTCCTTGCTGACCGTGAGAGCCCACCTTTGCTGTTCAATCTGCTAAATGTAACCTGGTGGCAGGGGGGAAACTGCCATACTAATTGGGATGGGGCTAATCCCATAATGATGATGATGATGATGATGATGATGATGATGATGATTATGTTGTTGTTGTTGTTGGGTGCCATTAAGTCAAGTACAACTCATAGTGACCCTCTAAACTAAAGATCTGACCCTAGTCCTGTCCTGCGCCATCCTCACAGTTCCTGACACAGAAAAGCCCACCGCAGCAGTCACCTTGTCAATCCACCTGGTTGAGGGTCTTTCTCTCCTTCCCTGACCCTCCACCTTCCGATGTCCCTCTCAAAGGAATAGCACCTGCTACCAATATGTCCTAAGTATGTGAGGCAAAGCATCATTCTTGTCTCCAAAGAGCACTCTGGCCGCACCCCCTCCAACACACATCTATTTGTTTTCTTGGTCGTCCATGGGATGTTCAGTGCTCTTCTCCAACACCACAGCTCAAAGGCATCAATTATTTTTCTATCATCCTTATTCATTGTCCAGGTATCAGATGCATGGCTAGTAATTGGAAAGATGCACCTTAGTCCTCAAACTGTTATCACTACTCCTCAGTAATTTGGAAAGATCCCTAACTGCAGTTTTTCCCAGTGCAATGCATCTCCTTTCCTGACTGCTCGTACCAAGGGTGTTAATTGTGGCTCCAAGCAAGATGAAGTTGTTGACAGTTTCAATCTCTTCGTCCACCATGACTCTGTCTATTGGTCCGACAGGCCAGCAGTTCCAACACACCAGCAGACCAGTGGGAGAAAAAGGAGACACTCTTACCCCTTTAAAACTTACAGCCTTGGAAACCCAGCGAGGCAATTCAGCTCTGCCTTATAGTGTCTCTATGTGGTTGTGTGTTGTTAGGTCAGAACCAACTTATAGCTGGCTCTCCAGCATTGCTCAGAGGTGGTAAATCACATGGGAGGAGACTGCCCATCTTCTTTTCATGGACCTGAGAGTGTATTTGAACCACCTGCCTAGGCCGCCAGAGTTCTCCATGAATCAGAATCAACTCCCTTGCAATGGGGTTTTTGATTTGTTATTCAACCAAGGAGCCCTGGTGGTACAGGGGCTTGAACTAATGACCCAAGCAGTCTATAAAGATTTACAGCCTTGGAAAATCTATGGGGCAGCTCTATTGTGCCCCATAGGATAGTCCTGGGATCCACTTAACAGCACTGTGTTCGGTTTGGGTTTGGATCCCACACTAAAATGATGGTTTATTCAAGAGATACTCATGAGACAGATGTGAGGCTTTATGAGCCTTTGGGAAGACGGGGTGAGAGTGGGTAAGGAGCGCACTGGATAGGGTGGACAGAAGATAGAGATGCTGGGCAGGGGCAGAAATACAGTGACAGCGAGTTCTGTCTGGCTACACTGGCCACTGGGGAAGGACCTATGCTACAAGGACACCCTCCACCCTATAGAGTCCTATAAGAAGGCCTTCCGTGAAGCCGCTGAGGCCATGAGGGAAGAGATAGCACAGCTCAAAGAAGGTATGGCCAACTCCATCTTTACACCATCACCCCCACATGCACCAGTGAGGACACCCCCCTTCTGAGTCCCCAGATCCCCTTCTGCCCTGGTCCTGCAGCTCGTTGGACCACTCTGGACCTGACCCTGTCCCGTCCTTGGAGAGTTTCCATTCCAGCAGGGATCTCTGCTTCGTGGGACACTCTTGATTCAGAGTCCCCTGACCTTTCCTGGTACATTCCGTGAAAATATATAACTAGCCTGTGTAGGTAAACCTCATTAATTAGGGTGTGCCTCCTGCAGCTGGAATGCACGCTTGTTTCACCAGAGTTGGATCATCACCTCAGGTGGAAAGCAGCAAACAGCAGAGCTGACTAGATATCCTTAGAGAGTAAGGGGCAAAAAAGTGCACGCCTTCTTTAGAGGCTTGATCCCAGACCAGGCCACGCCCCTTTAGCAGAGTTGCAGCAGAGACCACTCCCACTTAGGGACCTGGTCCCTGCGCGGGCCACGCCCCCTTAGGAAACACACCATGTCCCCTGAGGCGATGAGCAGCCGGCTAAGCCCCTTCAGGCACAGACCACGCCCCTAGAGATACGGGTTACACAAGCCACGCCCCTTGGAAGGACCCCTCTCCACCTCCCCCCCCCCCGCTTGGCCACGCCTCCTCGGCAGTGCCCAGGCTTGGCCCCGCCCCTCGGAGGAAGGCTATTCCCACAGCAGTTACATCTTGGGAGTTTTCGATAAAGAACCCCCTCTTGCAACTTCTGGAATGGTAATTCTCTGTCTTCGCTTTCTCTCTCTCTGTGCACAGCCCCGGACTGCGTCCCTCCTTGCGGTAAGGATGTAATTAAAAGAATTGCGGGGCAGGCTGGGGGTGGGGGGGATGGGATGGGTTAGTGCCCCAAAGATACACAAAACTACAAAAGGACGCCGCCCAAGAAAATCTGGAGAAAAGCAGGCATATCAGGTATTTGTCAATAACTTCATCGAAGTCGGGTCCAGAGAGCCCCAGTGGAATCCTCGAGGATGGAAAGGCGTGGGAGCCTTCCAGTGAGCGCAAAGAAATTGGGGTCAGCATTCAGACGCGAGACAGGGAGACTTAATAGACACGACACTGGCCATAGGGACACAGGTTGGGGAAGATATAGGGATATCCTTTCAGACCCAGCGTTCTCGCCCCTTAGGGATCCAGGAGGCTTCCCGGCGGTTCCGCTGCCAGGGATGCTACTCTACCCTCTGCAACCTGTCTCTAGACTGTCCAGGTGAGGGGCGGGGCAGGGCATCTGGACTGTCCAGGGGAGGAGCAGGGCCTGCAGTGGCTGGCCTGCCAGGTGGACAAGTGGTGTCTGGAAGTGAAGAGCTGAAACAGGGAGACCTGAGTCACTAGGGGCAACAGGCCTGTGGGTTGGGGGCGGGGCTAGATGTGAGTCAGTCCGGGAGCAGTGACCCTAATCTGATCTTCAGTTCAGGACATCCACGTGATTCGGGGTGAACAGGCTCTGTTCTCCTGCAAAGTCAACTTTGAACTGCCTGAGGATATCACCTATACCTGGAAGTTCTCAGGAGGAGGCGTGAGTGGGGCGGGGCCAACGTGATGAGAAGGGAGAGCCCTGGATTCAGGGGAGCGGAACTCAAAAGCTGGCACCTCTAGATCCAAGTTTAGTGCAAGGAAGTCGAGGCCCATAATGCAGGGCCAGGAATCAGCGAGTGGGCCATAGGTAAGGGTCTGAGTGTAAAAAAAAAAAGCATTTAGTGAAGGTGGGCATAGTAGACGCTTCAAGGGCGGGGTTAGAGCAAGAGGGCGGGGCTAGTAAGAAGCAGCCAATAAAAGTGGAGGGGCGGGCCCACGAAGTCAGTGGGCGTGGTCCACCGCAGGGGCGGAGTTTGGATTCTAAATTACGGTTTGACGAATCCGGTTGGAGCTTGCAGGCTCCGGCGACCCCGTCCTGGGAAGCCCTCCCCATCCCGCCGCCTCAGCCCTAGCGTCCCGCAGCTCCGGACGCAGGACCAGACTTACTTCCGAAAGCTGCCCGGGGCCCGAGGGAACGTGGCGCGGATCCGGCCGGCGCAGCCCACACATCGCGGGACCTTCTCGTGCGAGATCACGCAAGAACAGCGCCCCCTGGCGCGGCTCTACTTCTTTCTTAATGGTTCGAGCTGGGCGGGGCGGGGCGGGGCTACGCCGGGCTGACGCTGCGTGCGCGCTCCCGACTGACGCGGCGTGCGCGCCCCTGTAGTGACAGGCCCGCCCCCGCGCGGGGACACGGAGCTGCAGGTCGCCTTTCGGGAGGTCTTGCGCTGGGCCCCTCGCGACCTGGAGGAGGCCGAGCCCTGGAGGCCGAGTCTGGGCGAGCTGCTGGCCACCCCCGGGGCTCTGACGCCCGTCAACCGGCGCCTGCTCGCGGCCTCCGCGGCCTGCCTGTCCGCCCTCCTGACCCTGCTCGGGTGGTGAGTCCTGCCCGGGACCCTCCGTCCCACCATTCGGACCTCTGCCCCTTCGAAACCCGGAGCCCAGGCCTTGAGACTCCTCCTTCCCTCGGACTCAGGGGTCGTTGTCCCAGATTCCCACCTTCAGGCTCGGCTTCAGTCTCTCCTGCACCAGACCCAGGGATCACAGTCTTCAAACCTCCCCCCAAAACCCAGGAGTCCTCACCCCCATCCCTCCTCCCTCGGACTCTGGAGCCCTCACCCCCATCCCTCCTCCCTCGGACTCTAGAGTCCTCACCCCCATCCCTCCTCCCTCGGACTCTGGAGTCCTCACCCC